TAACTTTTGACTTATCAGAAAATGTTGAAAAAAATCCACTTAGGACCCAAGAGACTCTGCTAAAATCTTGTCTAATATTCGAGTCAAAATGTCAGGACGTGGTTAGTGCGAGCAGCTGCCGCTAATATGTATGGTGATTAATGTATCACTAGTTTCGTAACGGTACGTATCCAACATTTTCTTAGACTTCGAAATTCGCTCGTCCAGACAATCTTTGCTAAATAGCGCCTGACGGTTTCCAAATCAGAAGGCGAATACGAAGTGTTGAATACGTTTATTTTGGCACAATAAAAATTGACGAGCAGACCACAATCACAGGGAGAAGGGCAAGCAAACTAGCGAGCGAATGGGCTAATGTATTAATAAGATCATAGAAAAATGGCTGATTTATTGAGACATTTAAGAGATCATCTTTAAAGCGAATAGGTTGAACATGCGCGTAGTTGGTAAGCGATGCTCAATCGTACCAGCTCATACAAACCAAACAATAATAAAACCCCAATGTTACATATAAGTTGCTGCTAACCAAATTGCTTGGTTACATAAATTAATCAAAAGGCTTAACCAACTTAACTATGAGCGAGCTCAAATTTATGTGGACGCACTACATATGATGTGCGACAATAGCGATGGCAATCATGTAGCCTGGGCCATCTACCAACAGAGAAATTAGAGTTTTTCGGCTGTATATTCCGTCACACCTAGCGACTATTAGGTACTCATGTTTGATGATTTTGAACTTTTGAAATAGTGAAGACAACCGAGGCGCTTCAAGCTTGGTACAGCATGAAGAATGATTTCTCCAGTCACATTAGATAAGGCGAGATTAGAAATAGACCCATGAAGCAATGACATGTAGGCCATCCGATCGGAGATGCTACACTGACGTAGTGGTCGGGCTTGCTTATTGTAATGACAACCCAAAAATATTGGCTCGAACATATTATCCTGAAGTTTCTACGCAGGTCGGTTGGAGAACGATTAGACTAAAAGCAACTACTCAAGGTCTGAGGGCGAAGACGTACTGTGGAATGGTATGACAGCAGTAAGGTGCTTCCCTCGTACAACCAGCATCTGCGGCGATGCTAACTTCTCACAAGGAAGGAAGGGTTGGAAAATTTCGACCCTAAAAATGTCACACCTCACGGATTTCCGTATCAGGCGGTAGGGGCTGTTAAAAAGAACGGGGCTAATACTCGAGCAGTTGTCCCTTGGGCTCTGCGGTCACGCTCTCAGGTCTCTAAGACAGACACTAATCTACCTTCCTTTTTAGGCTCTTCAAGAAACAACCATCCACGGTCTGGGCAGCCGGGAAGTGACAACCGCCCTCATACCCGTAACAGCACACGAGACCAAATTAGTCGAAATCAAATCCTTCCTACACCCCCTAATACCTCTCTTATCTCCACGACTAACTATTCTCACATTCATTTATCACAGTGCACAGCTAATGAAAACGATGCGAGTTCGCGAAACGTCGTTCCTGGTCTCCTTAAACCCCGTTCTAAACTACATGTTGGAGCATTTAATGTACGGACATTGTGTCAAGTAGGGCAATAGGCATCATTAGCTAGGACTTTAGAATCTCGCTCAATTGATGTATGCTGCGTCTCCGAAACGCGCATACAGGATCCGAGTAGCGTCATTCACTTGGCCTCACCATGTCAAGATAAAGAAGCAGCTCGATTTACCCTTCGTGTATCTGGTAGTCCTGATGCTGCTTCCTGGGATCTCGCTAGTGTAGGTATAGCATTGGATCGTAGAGCAGAACTATCTCTCATTGACTGGATCCCAGTAGATAGTCGCTTGTGCGCCGTTCGACTAAACGGGACAGTAAGGATTCGGAAGGATAGGGACACTCGTCGTTGCCTCTTCGTCATATCAGCCTACGCCCCCACTGACTGCAGTTCAGACGAGGTGAAAGATAAGTTTTACAGAAAGCTTTCGGACCTCCTCCAAAAAGCTAGGCGCTCTGATATAATAATAATGGCTGGTGACTTCAATGCTCAAGTAGGTAGACTAAGTGAAAATGAAAGACACCTGGGTGGATGCTATGGTGTCGTGGCTCAAAGAACAGACAATCTGTTGCAACTGTACTCAGATAAACAACTATTTCTAGCAAACACTAACTGTAGGCATAAGGAAAAGCATCTCTTGACCTGGCGACCCCCGAAGTCGTCTCAACGTTGGACGCAACTAGATCATATCACCATCAGCCACCGATAGAGGACTGCCGCTCGTTCTGGGGCACATGTTTAGATTCAGATCATGCCCTAGTGCGAGCTCGTATCTGTTTGAGGCTTACTGGACGTTGGAAAGACACCGTAAGGAAGCCTCCTAGGGCTTTACTTGATGATAATCAAACTAAGAAAATATTTCAGGAGCAACTAGAAAGAGAGTAAGGCAATCATCTATGCGATTCTCATCCAGAAGCAGGTTGGTGTGATATAAAAAAGGCTGTGGAAACAGCAGTGATATCTTCTAGCAGGGTAAACCATGAGGATAGAATGAAGCGGTGGATTTCAGTCGCATCCATCGAACTGATGGATTCTCGAAAACGCATCCCACCTGACTCTGAACATGATGAAGAGCGTAGTCAGCTTAAGCGCAGGCTGATAAAAAGCCCACGAAACGACCGCGACCAGTGGCGGGTGGGGAAATCAAAAGCGTCAGAAAAGGCAGCTGTGCAACAGTAGACAGTTGTTCCGACCTATCAAGGAAACCGTTATTAGGAGTTCGACTATGGGTGAGATTCTGTCGGAAAAGGATGGCTGTATCAGTCATTCTCAATCCAGAAGATTGGATCGATGAGCAGAAAACTTTAGGGAAAAGTTAAACTGCCCTTCATCCACACTTCAGTTACCTACAATCTCCAGTCATCCTGAATGGCAAATCGACGTTAGCCCTCCGAATCCTTATAAAACTGAAAAAGCCTTGGGAAATCTGAAGCGAGGGAGAGCAGCAGGACCTCATAGATCTACCTCTGAGATATTTAGGAATGGTGGTCCAGTTTTAACAGTTAGACTGACCGAGATCCTAGGTAGGATCTGGGAACTGGACGTAATCCCGTCTGACTTGTCTCAATCACTGATCGTCACAATTTATGAGAAATAACAAAAGTCTTCTTGTAACAATCACAGAGGAATCAGTTTAACTAACATAGTTTCTAAATTGTTAGCCTCAGTTGTCTTTAGACGCCTAACTATGGCTCGTGAAGAGCGGAGTAGAGAAAACCAGGCTGATTTCAGACCTGAACGTGGATGTATAGACAACATCTTCGCATTATGACAGTTCCTGGAACACAGGCACACATTTAGGCGTCCGAAAATAGTTGACTTCCTGGACCTCAAAGCGGCGTTTTACTCAGTAGAACTGGAGGTTCTGTGGCAGTCTCGGTCGTCAAAAGGTGTGCCGCAGAAGTACATCAACCTCATGCAAGCTGCACTCGAATACTGCCAGTCGAGAAAGAGTTTATGACGAACTGTCATCGAAATCCTTCACTTCAAATGGTAACAGTCATGGGTGTCCACTTTCTCCATTCTTGTTTAACTTTGTTGTAGACATGCTTCTAGAGTTAACATCATCCTCGTCTGACTTTTCAGGAGTGGACCTTCTACCAGGAGACATGTTTGTTGACCTAGAATATGCTGATGACATAGTTCTATTCGGTGAAGACGCTGACAAAATGCAGTCTTCTGTCTACCCTAAGCAACAATGCAAGCATAATCGAGATGCGGTTTTCCCCCTCGAAATGCAAAATGTTGCTTGAGGATTGGGTTGCATTGGCACCTGAACTAGTGATAGGGAGTGAAGTAGTCAAGCGTGTAGAAAGCTTCACTTATCTGGGGAGTCTCATCAGAGTTGATGGCCTGGTGTGTGACGAAATCTCAGCCCGGAAGCAGAGGGCTCGATTGGCTTTTGCCAATTTGCATCACCTATGGTGCTGGCGAGATACACTTTTAACAACCAAAGGACGAGTGCACTGTGCAGTAGTTCGCTCTGTCCTACAATACAAATGCGAAAGAGTAGAGGACTTTCGTAGGTTACCAGCCTTTGATCATCGGTGTCTACGAAGCATTTCCCGTGTATCCTGGGACCAACGTATAAGTAATGCTATAGTTATGGAAACGAGTACTAGGTGAGGATGGCAGATAAATAGATGAAGTGTTGGAACTTCATCAGTTGAGGTGGTTGGGACATGTTGCGTGTACCTAGCCACCGACTGCCACGACGAGCTATGTTTTGTAATGTACGAGTAGGTTGAAAGAAAGTTAGGGGCAGTCAGACCAAAACATGGCAAAAATCCACGAAATCACTAACAAGTGAACTGAGTCATGTTGGTAGATGTAGGCTACGTGGTTGGGGTCCGCGAGAAGAAGGTCACCAATGGTTAGAGACCTTGGACGAAATAGCTCAGAATCGTCTGCAATGGCGCAGGTGCATCCACTCTTTGTGTTCTCTCTAATTCTAACCTTTTGAATTCCTCACAATCTCCGTCTTTCTCCTTCTAAATTTATCTCACTGAATTATACTTCTGGAATCATATCTTCGCTCCCTAATCTTCTCCATTACTGCTAATACTTCTACTATCACCATTACTCTTGGATTTGAATTGACATTTGCGTCTCTGTGCTAATGCGGTATGACAACCTGAACTGATGTACGTACGTACGAAGTTCTACGTTGTAACTGACTGTATACCGCTTACCATTGAATAATTCTAAACATTAACCTGTCCTTCACTAATGATCTTCCACGGTGTGGGCAGCCGGGGAGTGACAACCGCCCTCATACCCGTAACAGCACACGAGACCAAATTGGTCGAAATCAAATCCTTCCTACACCCACACATACCTTCTCACTAAAGATGGTTATTAAGAGAGACGGTAACGGAAAACCCTGGGGTTACTGTTAAAAACAGAATATCAGTATTCTATATGACTACCACCATATTTGGCGATCACATGCTTTCTTGTTGAAAATGCACAGAAAAGTACTTCCCAAGACAGACTTTATTGGCGTTACCAACCGATCTACACATGTAACATAAGGGAAACGAAAGAACTCATTGTATCTCATCTTATTATGTTCAGTTATATACAAGCAGTAAGGACTAGCTGTTCTAAAAAATTTCTAATTTATTAGTGAATAATGTAGTTAAAACAAAAACATAATATAAGGTTTACATTTAGTAGTCATAATTTTAGAATTGAGAAGGTACTACATGAATATGAGAGATAGTAGAAAGATATTTCGATACAAATAAATCTATCATGATAAAACAGATAGCAAAGGAAGAAAATCGTTAGTTATATCTTACTAACAGATCACTTAGTTCAATAAGAAGTTAAGATGTGACTCATAAACGAGGTCGACGACCAAAAATGTTTTCGAAAGCATCTGCTAAAGTAGGGTAAGTGAACTCGAATCCTGAATTAAGAAGCTTCTTTGGAATCACATGCTGACCATCTAAAACCAAGGTAGCACGATCACGACCAAGAAGACAAGTAAAAATAAACGGTGGAGTTGAAATATTAGAAAGGAAATTAGATGGAGCACCAAGTGACTGAGACATAGCTTTAGCAAGAGTAACCTGAGAAACAGGTTCAGGTGCTGTACAATTGACTGGTCCGCTTGAAAATACTTGTTTAGGGTCAGCAACATATTCAATTATTCTAACCATATCATGTAGATGAATCCAAGATACCCACTGATGACCAGTACCAATCGGATTACAAAACCCCAAAAGATAAATGAGGCGAAAAGAACGGATTAAATTCGAGTCTTTGGAAAGAACTATACCTAAAGTGAAGGAAAAATATTAAAGAAATTATCTTAAGTAGTGAATAAGAATGGTGGTTAGTAAAATTACTAATACATAGTTACCAAAAAGGACGGATGGAGAAAATAGAAGGATCGACCGACGCTTTTGCTTGTTGACATTAGTGAGAAAGATGTATTAGGACCCTTCAGATGGCTTGGTTTATACTGTGTTAGGGAACTATGCTGATATTGGTTAGTGGATCAGTCAATACCGTCACGACGGCTCTTAACTTTGTGAAGCATCCTCATTCAATTTATTGCCTTTCATCATATACGTTGTAAGTCGTTTCCCTGAGTAGTGGGACTGTAAACATCAAAAAATGGACTCAGTTTTATCTCAGAATGGTCCACATATGCTTAACCACCAATCAATTAAATTATACTTACCTTATGAATACGGTTATCGAGATTAAACTATTGAACTTTTCATTAGTGTGCTTTACCATCATTTTTTCGAAAAACATAAATCATTAAAGACGAAGTATCAGTCGTATTGACTATAGTTACCGTCCAGACTCTGATTCGACAAGTATGCGAGACGTGACTGAGAAGATATATGCAAGAAAAAATTTCTGCTTCAATACTATTCATAGTCATGAGTTTTTCTGTCAGTGGCCGGTTGCTGCATGAGATTTAAACATAGTTATACTCTGAAATACTAACTTTGAAATAGCTTCTCCAATAGGATTTAGTTTTACCGATTCTTAGATCACATTTAAACTAGAGGTTCAAATTTCTGATAACACAATATTGTGACAAAGCAATCCTACGTGAGTGAGCGAGCCAGTCACAATCAACATGGAGCTTGGGACATATATGTATCAACTCAAAGAATCATGTCACAGCAAAGTGGGATGAAATTAAGAATATGAATGATGGTTTCGAATAATAGCAGTATCAATGATGAAGAGAGAATGTGTCTCGAAAGGACAGATGGCTTAGAGGGATAAAAGGTACGGAATAACATTGAAGCTCTCAAGACTTAGGATAAAATAGGGAGGAAATGCATTTACACCAATGTGCTAGGTTCTTAGTCATACAGTTTAGTGCCTCGAACCACTGATTGCGGTTATCATGTGGATCCAATCAGGGAGTTTTTGCAAGTCAACACGGTTCAGTCTGAGATCAATAACTTTGTGGACAAACGCCACGATTTGGTCGCCTCTAGTTTTCTCTCAGCTTATTTCTACTTTACATAATATTGTTCATCTTCTATAATGCTAACGACTGGAAAATACTGAAACATGTGTTCACGTTATAATGATACTGCACTTAACCATATATTTGGTTGTATTTTCATTTCCATTTAAAATAAGACGCAATTAAAAGACTGTCTCTGACTATAAAGCTAACAATTTAAACCGGAGTAATTTTGTTAGATGGTGGAACTGGAACTTTAATTTTTGGAATCGTTGACATACCTAAACTACCTATTTAGTATTACTGGTGAACTGGCTTTTTTATGGCAAAATTAGGTTATATCGAACAATACTAATAAAAACAGAAATGAGTCAAAATTAATAATGACCATTTTATTTCGTGACGATGGATCACATGACGGAAGTAAAAAGTAATGGTGATTAGAAAATTTGGCCCCAGGCTTGAAGTGAAAATAAACTGAAATTGGTTTTGGATAAATCTAACGAACAATTGAGTAACTATCTTCCACACCATTAGCGTCAACCTGAATCTTGGTACTTTAGCAGAATGTCAACATCATATTAAGTGTTTTTTAAATTTTACTGTTTGACAAATTCCATTTGCTACGTAAAGAGAGTATGTAACATAGAGCCATCTACGGTGAAAAGCTGCGGTGATCGATAATCCTCATACTTGAAAGTGAAGCAAGACATGAGTCACTCTACTTAGTGAACTTGTGTGAGAGATCGAGGTTTGTCGTTTAAAAAGTGCTCTATCACAAGTAGACAAGGGAAAAAGAAACAAAAACCTACATTGTAACAGGAAATATGAAGTTAGCAGGTATGAACTTGATAACTTATGGAAACAAATGTTAAGCTAACCAACACTGAGACAGTTGGTCATACATCTAATAATAAGTCTTCACAAATACCTAAGCCGCTCTTATAGATGTTTGTCATGTTACTCTGACAGTAAAATTAAACGGGAACTGAGTGGGTTGAAAAATAATTTGTTTTTACTTAGACGTGTAGGTAGATCGACAGACATCATCAACATAGAGCCCGTCACAGATTTGCGTTAACTTCAGTCACTAACAACTGATTAGAACGATGAGGTTAAAATAACAAGAGATTAAAATATTGTATCAGCAAGTATTGAAAAAAATTAATCCTTAGGAATATGGTTTAAAATGATACAGTGGAGGTATGTGATGAAAGAATATTTTAATTCATGACGGAAATAAAGATAAATAGTGAATGAAGCTACGTATGGTGAGCGATTGTAAATAATTTCACACAAAGCCTTTAGACAATGATGACAGTTATCTTTCGGATCCTAAACAGGTGGTTTCGATTTATCAAAATGGCTTAGATCGAGATTCAATGACATTATAAACTGATATCATATCTTATTTTACCTGCCGCTTTCTTACAGAATTCTGCTATACTACCAAGCATCACTCATTCAATGATTGTCAGGCAAGTACTGGTAAACTTTATAACTCACCTGTCCGCAATTGAATTTGACGAATATCGGGTCTAGAAGGTATTTGAGCTGCATCTTCCCATTGCTTAACAAGACTGGTGATCCAATCATGGTCCCTAAATGGAGTAGATTCATCATAGGTGGCTTTCGGATCAGGAGGATAGAAACCTGCCAAAAAGTACAAGAAAATCAAACGCCCAAATATACTACAATAAGAAGTTGTGCGTGCACAAACTAGCAGAAAGGGTGAGTACGTTGCTGATAAAACTCATGGTATGTTGATACACAGAAACAGACTACTATCCATTTATTAACGTATTCTTGTCTGTTTGACCAAAGTCTCGTAAAATTTGTAACTGCAAGAAGATTAACATACTATTAGTTTAAACAATCAATGAAGTAGAAAATGTCTAGCACCTTTCAGACCCTAAAACTAACATTCATTCTTTAAATTGAAAGAACACTGGTATCGCGTACGTAAGGGACGGTCTGTTTGTATTAGAAGTGAGGCCTATAGATAAATATGATGAATCCTTAACACCAGCTGGCAAACTTCAATGATGTTTCTAAGGGCAATATCATTTACTGGCCATTCTGGAAACGTTCCAGAATAACCAGAGACATTGAGATGTTATGACTTTTCTTAGGAGCCAATATCAATACTATGTAGTGAAGTATAATGTTGTCACCTAAGAATGTGAAATAGGTTGTGGATATAATCCGAAAGTAACTTAACAGACTTTAGAGTAGTTAAATCAAATCACTGAATCAGTTTACACATTTAAAATGGAAATAATCTGGCCACTTTTCAATTAACTAGTGAGTCAAGATTTCAGAAGGTAAGAGTTTTAAGTTAACTCATGATCTAAACGATTGTGCATTTGTATTTTCAAAATCACTTCGACCATGGTCTTGAAATACGTAGGATTTTCAGACTTACTTGTGTTTTCAATTCCATAGAGTGACAATGAAGTGATCGAATCGGGAGGCTACGGAAAGTAGACACAAAATCATTGTTTATCAAGATTTTCTCCATTTCCTTACAATAATCTGATAGCATCAGACACTGTGAAATAATCGTATGGAGCGAACAAAAAGAACAGTATTGGACTTCTGTTTCTTTCTAGACTTGGTCTCTCTGTTGGAAATCGATTACCACTCATTACAGGGGACCATGAAATCTCGGTACGAATACAGAAGGTTCGATTGGCTCTTGCCAACTTGCATCACTTATGGCGTAGACGAAAAATCCGTCTGCTAACCAAAGGTCGAGTCTACTGCGCAGCCGTTCGCTGCACCATCTATATGAATGCGAAACACGGCCGGTAAGAGTAGAAGATATTTGTAGGTTACTGGTATTCAATCACAGATGTCTTGGAAGCATGGCTTGTGTGTCATGGAACAACCGACTAAGCAATGCTGTTATTAAGAAACGGGTGCTAGGTAAGGATGGCAGGTCAGTAGATTAAGTACTGAAACTTCATCAGTTGAGGTGGTTGGGACGTGTTGTGTATGCCCAACCACCGACTGCCTCGACGTACGATGTTGTCTGATGTAGGGGTGGGCTGAAAGCTAGGGCGGCCAGACCGAAACATGAACATAAGTCCATCAAGTCACTGATAACTGGATTGAGCCATATTAGTAGGTGTAGACTACCTGGTTGGGATCCGCGAGACGATAGTACCCGATGGTTGGAGACTTTGAAGGAGATGGCTCAAAATCGTTTGCTATGGGACAGATGCATCCATTCTTCGTGTTCTCTCTAATTCTAGTCTCCTCAATACCTTATCACCTTCATCTCTCTCTTTTAAATTTAATTCGCCGGATTATACTTCTCTAATCGTATTTACGAACCCTAATCTTCTCCATTACCTCTAATACTTCTACTATTTCCACAACAAGTTGAACAAGAACTGAGAAAGAAAACAACTCTGACGAACACCACTTGAAGTAATCTATCTGGATGACAGTTCGCCATAAGCTCTCATTCGACCAGTAGTGATAAAGAAACGTAGGAATGGTTTGTCGTGGAGATAAAGAGTTATTAGTAAGCGGAGCGGGAAGGATTCGATTGTGACTAATTTGATCTCGTCTGCTGTTACGAGTATGAAGGCGGATGTCACTTCCCGACTGCCCATACTGTGGAAGGATATGTCTTGACGAGCCTGTAAAGGAAATTATATTAACTTTGGTCTTTACGAGCTAAGGCGTGACCGCAGAGCTCGAAGGACAACTGCATGTGGCCGGTCACAGACGGCTTTTTCATGGCAGGTTGTAAAGTGGTAGCTCCTCTTTTCACCGCCGGAGACGGGAATCCGTGAAGTAGGGTGAGATGTGACATGCTCATGGTCGACCTATCCTATTTCCTTCCTTTCTTATGAGAAGGCAGCATCGTTGCAGATGCTGGTTAAAATCTTAAATCTTAATATTTGAGTGCGAATCGTAACGCATTTGATTTTCACTTTGTCTATTTACTACTTGTTTATATAGTCAAATAATCTTGTTTTCATAACTACTCTCAACAAATTCAACAGCATAAGTTGGTGATTACTGCATTGTTAGGTGATCCTAGTAAATATAATTTTTTGCTGTTATTACAAAATAAGGAAACTTAAATTTGTAACTTATTGAACTCACCTATGGCTGACGCATTTATGAAAGCCTTTATTGGAGCAGATTTAGATAAATCAACAAGAAGCCTAGTTGTATCTAAACGACTGGAAAAAACTTCGTCAATATACTTCTGATAATTCCTGCAATTTATGAAAGTAAATACGGATGAAAGTAAAATCGGCCTACTGTTTAATGAAAAATGATGGGTTAATTTCACCAATGTTTCGACCGCTCAAGTTTACAATGACATCTACATCTTTTGGTAGACCATTTTTCCTGATAGATTCCTAATACGTAAGCCCTTCATATTTCAAAAAGTAGTCTACCCAGCTCAGATCATTTACGTCCTTTGGTTTGCGTGAGATAACTCGTACTTTGTGTCCAGTTGATCTAAGTGATGAAACTAGAGACCGACCTATAAATCCTGAGCCGCCACCTGCAAAGTAAAAGTACTGGTTTTAGGAAGGTTACAAGATTAATGAAAAAACACTGGCTAGCAATAACGGTAGTGTGAAGAGAATGATCTGAACACATTGAATAGTTTTAAGTTGTACGATAACCGGATTTCTAAAATCTGCTGTGAACCTTCTGCATTAGAAACTATATTTCAGTCTTATGCCCCAATAATCAAAAGTCAAATAGAATATAGGTTGAATTATTATTATTGGTTAGAATTATTTTTCTGGTCAGTGTTTTTAGAGTTACGTTTTTACGGCATGGGGTCGCCAACTACATGCCTAGTCCTCCTTCTTCAACCGAGCTTAGGACCGGCGGTAACCCCGGATGGGCCCTAGGCTCCAAAGAACACATTACGTTGAGTATGGAGACAGACTTGAGAAGAATGAACACCGATTAAATAGAACTGGAAAAGAAGGTGAAGGACAGAGTAGGTTGGAGAATGCTGGTCAGCGGCCCAAGCTCCAATGGTGGTAACAGGCTTAAGTATTATTATTATGATTAATGGTTTTATTCACGTCATGTGTAGTACAGCATGGAGTTCTCAAAGCATAGAGTAATGCAGTCAACGCTACATACAAAGTTGATTTATGGATTTACTGAGAACTTAGCAGGAGGGAAATAGCACTATACTAACTACGAAGCTAACAACATTTAGACATTTTATCGGTGAGGTTTTGGAAATTTCTTTGGCGTCAATAAGACATTTATTTAATCTGGATTAAGCACTTTTTGAAAACAGTGAAAATATTCTAGCCATTTAAAAACAGATAATTTTACGACTGCTCCAAAATAACAAATTAATTCCTATGATCTATATGAACTCTATCGTAACATAATATCAGTGGTGGTAGGATTTATACCACTGGATCTAAAGTATTGCTAACCAACAAATCAGCTGAAAATTTTGAAACTAGATACCACTGTTATTTCAGGTTGGGTATAAATAATAAGAAAAAACCTCGATGAGTAACCTCCAGAGCTTTCAAAGAATAGTGACCAAGTTTAACAATCACGTTTATTTATATTAGTTGTAGTCTAGGATTTCGATCTCTGTGGGTACCCTAAGAAAGATACAGGAAAGAACAGGAAAGCAAGTGGTAACAGCTGAATACGAGCAGGGAAGGTCAAGGCACAGACCGAATACACCGAAAGGAACAAGCTTTGCAGCTGATCAGCGGAAATATAAAGGGGACTTAGCAATTATAGCAAGAAAGCTACAAACAGAAACATGAAACAACTATGCAATATCACAAAGGAGCTTATAGGAAAGTATGGTAAATCAGAACTAACAATCAATAACAAAGAGAGCAAACCAATTAACGAGAGTGGAGAACAAGAAAACTGGTAAGTAGAGCGCTTTGAAGAACTCTTGAATCGACCAGCCCAACTGAACCCAAACAACATCAAGGCAGCATCCACGGACCTCTCAATCAATGTTGGTCCAACAACAATTGAAAAGATCCGAATGGCCATCAGATAAATCAGGAGTAGTAAAGCATTAGGATCAGATAACATACCACCTGAGGCGTTGAAAGCAGACAGCAGTGACTTCAGAGATGTTCCATGCTCTCTTCAGCAAGATTTTGGAAGACCAAGTACCAATAGAATAGAAAGAAGGACATTCCATCAAGATACTGAAGAAAGGAGACCTTAACAAGTGTGAGAACTACAGAGGCATCACTCTACTATCAATACCACGAAGTCTTCAACAGTGTTGTCAAACCTATCAGACAAGGAAGCTTACTGTCACCAATTCTGCTACTTTTGGTGGTTGACTACACTATTAGAAACAACATTTTAGGGGAAGCAAGCGATACAGTAGATAGCTTGGATGCAGCTAGACAATTTGGACTTTGCAGATGATCTGGCTCTTCTATTCCACACAGCAACATATGCAAGAGAAGATAAACAGTGTAACAACAGCCTCTGGAGCAGTAGGTCTCAACATACACAAGGGGAAAACAGAATCCTCCGATACGACACAATATGTACTAACCAAATCACACTCGATGGAGCTTTGAAAGATGTGGAGAGATTTACATACCTGGGCAGCATCAATGATGAGTAAGCTGATTATGATGCAGATGCAACACAGATTGGCAAAACAAGGTCAGCATTTCTACAATTGGGACCCCGTTAAGAGTAGATGTTTGTAGGTTACTAGTTTTCGATCATCGATGTCTCCGAAGCATTGTTCGTGTATCATGGGACAACCGAGTAAGCGATGCTGTCGTTAGGAAACGGGTGCTAGGTAAGGATGGCAGATTAGTAGATGAAGTGGTGAAACTTCATCAGTTGAGGTGGTTGGGACATGTGTTACGTATGGCTAACCACCGACTTCCTCGTCGAGCTATGTTTTGCGGTGTAGGAGTAGGTTGGAAGAAAGTTAGGGGCGGCCAAACCAAAACATGGTAGAAATCCATGAAGTCACTGACAAGTGGATTGAGTCATGTTGGCAGATGTAGGCTACCTGGTTGGGGTCCGCGAGACGAAGGTCACCAATGGTTAGAGACCTTGAGCGACATGGCTGAAAATCGTTTGCAATGGCGCAAGTGCATCCATTCTTTGAGCTCTCTCAAATCCTAATCTTCTGGATTCGTCAGCACCTCTACCTTTGTCTTTCTAACCTTATCTCACTGAATTATACTTCTTGAATAATATCTTCAAACCCTAGTCCTCTTCATTACCATTAATACCTCTACTATCTTTATCACTATGGGATTTGATTTGAAATTTGCGTCTCTGTGCTAATGTGGTATGGCAACATGAACTTATGTACATACGTACGAAGTTCTACGTTGCAACTGACTGACTGACGATTGGGTCCCAATACAACTTTCAGCCAGAATTTAATAACCCTACTGTTAAAATAGCTTCATTTTATGGATCAGGAATTCGGAGAACTACTAGAACAATCAGAATAAAACGCACACGTACCTATGAACAACTGTCTACACAAAATACTCCGGATTCGTTGGCCTGAAATTGTTAGCAAAAACCTACTATGGCAGTAAACAACCGAGCCTCTAGATGAAGGAATGAGAAAAACAAGCTGGAAGTGGATATTACACAGTGGAAATCATTAAACTACATTACAAAGCAAACTGTGACTAGGAACAGTTAAGGTAAAAGGAAAAGAGAAAGACTTATTCATTAGGTAATCGAAGTAGGCTGGAAACTCCTGACCGATAGCCAATGCTCCATGAGGTGTAACAGGCGTACGTAAAGTAAGGTAAGAATCCAGTTTATCAAACTTGGAGTAAACGATGAACATTTGAGTTTGTAAAAGAGGAAGTGATAACCAGACAAGAGTCAGTTTAACTGTCATAATGTTTAATGCATAAACCTCTACAACCACCCGATACTTAAACGCAAGTTGAGAACAGTAAGCCAGTTACGCATCTAATAATGAGTTATGATTAATTTGTCAAGCCACAAAATACCTTAACGAAGAAATGCTTCAAACTCTATGATTCATGCGCGTCAGACCCCATATAGAATGCTGTAACTAAGGGGTTGGTTAAAGTGTGTCCAAAGTATAGATATTAAGTTTCTACTAGGATTTCTCAACTTGTCTTATGATGAGTGACTGAAAAAACTGGATAAATTTATCTTATCCAGTCGTAATGAGATTAGATGTGACACGAGAATTCCGTATCCGTATAACGACTTAGGTGCTGTCATGTTCTATATTTGAGAGCAGTAAAAACGGGTTCTAAAAAACGATGGAATCTAACTCGGATTAGAGTTTTGATTTTCCCCCTGGGTGTTCAACAACTGCAACGCCCAGAGGGAATAAGTGGTTTCAGACCCTCTAGTAACACTTTCTAGAAACTGGAAAAGACTAGAAGCGAAATGTTAAGAGTTTTCAATACATACAAAACTTAGTGAGTCGTTATTAGATATCATACTGGCAACAGATTGTAAACAACATAGTTATTTGGTCTTGATATGCAAATTTTAAAATTAATTAAAAGGTTAGGAAGCCTTTACCTGAAACATAATAAGAAAGAGTGTTTAGCTATAAGTCTAATTCTTCGATCTTAACAAAACCAAAGTAACAACTTATTCGCAAGACAATTCAAACTTACCAACAAGAAAGTTCATTTTTGAAGCAACTATAAACAATGGTATAAACAAATTAAGTTTAAGTAAACCTCACAAAATTTTAAAGTTATTGTAGTATCAAATTGTAGCTGATGGCTTTGTTTATTTTGAGGGCAACGTCAGCGCGTTATTTGAACTAGGCGTTATACGGTGGTAGTCAAAATGTTGGATGGTGTGAGCAATATGATTGCTGAGTTGTATTCGTATCTTACGGATGTCCAGATTTCCTTCATAAAATACGCTCTGACTGCCCTTCTCTTGACGTCTACTTCTTTCTACTTGTTAAGAAGAAGTCTCGGTAAAGAGTCAGTCACTGTCAACACGAAGAAATCGAAAACACGCGTGAAGAAAAGCAAGAGTAAATCTTCGGATGGTAGGACATCATCATCGGTAGTTTCGCTTCATAATGTAACTTCAATCTTAGGATGGTGATCACTCGGAAGTTAAAAAACCTGTGGTCCTGCCACGTAACCCTGCTGTTGTAAATACACAAAAAACTCGTATTCCTGTTAGTACTTTCAATGAAGCATTACCTGTATTACCAAGTCCTGAAAAAGTAACCGTGTTTTCTTTTAAACAGTGTCCGTAGGATGTTCCTGAAAGCGAAGACAAGAGCGATAATTGGGTTACTGTAAGGAAAGGAAAAAAGATTTCAGATCATCATCCAAAATATACAGAAACTACTAAAGAAACAAAAGCAGTCATATCCGACGTCGTCATATCGAAAGGCAAGAGTAGTGAAAAGCGCCAGTTTTCGAGTGCAGAAACTAACCTTGAGTCTGTTACTCTGAGAGCGTCAAAACTATTGCCACCCGTTCCACAAATTCCGGCTTATAAGTCAGCTGGTTCTGAATCTGACGGCGATTGGCATGAGGTTCGACTCTCAAGGAAGGGGCGTAAGTCAGCCAGACAATAATATCCCTCAACAAAGTGTACATATCCCCTGTGATTTCTACAAGTGCCTACTCTACTGTTTTCCTATTTTTCATTCCATCGTCCCTATGCCGATTACACTGCACAAGTTCGACATTTAGTATATTGTGTCACTTCCGATTTGACGACTGTCAACTACCATAATTGAGATTTGGTCTACAGTTTCACTTTCCTTTTCGTCTTTTACTGCTCATTATTTTGTTATATGATTCCTGTATTCAGCATTATCACTTTTTGACATGTAATAACCCTATTCACAATGCCTATCTGGTGAATAGTAATAATTTGGTCCACTTTTGATAAATAAAATTTTGTTGTTATCAATCTTATAATTTGTTTTTGAGTCCTAAGTGTACTTGTGGTTCTTCCGGTTACATATATTTTAAGTATTGTGTAGTAAGACCCGATGTTACTCGAGTCTGGAACTCGATTCATTATGTGAACCCAAAATGCGTTTTTGCTCTATTTCCATGCTTCATTCTAAACAAGTTTGAAACCACTTTTCGAGAGCGGATTTAAAGTGCCAGTTGTCTTCATGACATTCCAGACTTTCAAACTTGGTTACAGTTATGCATCTATGCAGACTACTCAGTTAGCTGACATCCTGAATCTTAGTAACTTATTCTAGTTATGCAAAAGTCAGCTGAGTACGTGGAAGACATACTTGGAGGATTTCTAGATAGGTTTTGATCCCATCGAACGTACCCCCATATAGAATAGACTCACCTAGGATTGAAACATGGCTTACAAGTTTACCTCATTCTGTATTTTGAGAAGATAAAATGTATTGCCTTTGAGTGACAGTGTTTTAAGTCGGATGTACAAGTGAAAGCAAATAAGTCACTCATTAAGGTTATGAACTTTCGACGGCTCGGATACGTCTTACTGATACCTGTCTATCACGTACCCTGACTTGATATCTGGAGTGGGTGGTGAAAAGACATTTAAAGAGATGTAAAAGTAGAATCATTCCTAGTTGGTGTGCAGGACAATATGGGTACTGTGACCTATTCTCAGTACAGTCGATGGATTTATTTTTTCTGATAAATTAAGTCATGTGATTATGTGGGCGCCTGAATAACAGTTCGGGTTTTATAGTGGGGGACGAATTTCGTAATTTAATCTCATTAAATTAAAGTAAGCAGTTTGCGAATAGAGCTAAATACCATATAAATTAGGATTGATCTGAATTTAAATTATATTTCGTACTGAGCGGTTATTATTTGGAACAATTGTCTTGTCTCGAATTCACTTGCTATGTGATAAGTACTACTGCTGAGTATCGTTACATATCCCACACTAACTAGTGACTTAACAAAATTTTAAAGTGTTCGCGTAGCTCACCATAAAAAAATATCCTCGAGGATTTACTAAACCAACGCTGAATTTATTTATAAATATTTTACTTGTGCATAATTTTTTTACCTTTTTTCACTTATCCCGTTCACTATTTAGTATTTATTTAAATGTTTTCATAGTGTATTGTTTTGGTCCTTCGGGTCCATTATCTCACGGAAACTATAGCGTAGGAGATCAAAAAATTTTCTGATGTTAATGTGGCCTCCTGAAGCATTACATAGTTTTTAGTGCATTTGGATTGTCTTCTGGTGGAATTCAGCACGGGTTACCTTTATTTGGGATTCATCAGTTAGATATTCCCGTATCCCGATGTTTAAACAAACGCATTTGTGTCTAGAGCAATAGGCACAAGGTTTGATTTCTAGTATAAAAATATATACTTGAATGCGGATATATCCAGTGAACGATTCCAAAATAGAAAGAAATGTGTGTCTTTAAGTCAGATGCTAATTGTGATACAAGCATACTAAAAGGTTTTAACTAAAAGACATTATCGTGGCGTTCCCTTAAGTTATTCATATACCAACAGTTTCAGTCCGGAACATTAACAGGAAAATGCCAATCCCTATTGACATTCTGCATAATGTGGGGTTTCATAAGTAGTTTTTTGCCTAACATATTCAAATGGGTAGACCACTCTGTATTACGAGTCCAGTTATTTTACAAAAGACAACGTGGACAGTATAAATAGATTACATTGACTGTAATGGACTAGTTGAGATTATTTGGCGTATTCGTTTATATTTACATTGCTACCGTTCTCCAATCTACTATGTAATTTAATCAGAAACTTCTGTCCGTTGATTCATAAGCTTATTTGAATACACGCTTCGAACATTTATAATAGTTGTGTCATTAACGCCAGAAAGAAAACATGTCTTGCTTGTGACTGCACAGTTATTTCAATTAATTTATGGATGTCGTTCTGTTATGATAGAAAACTGTATAAAGGTCTACATTTTTTGATTATTTTTAATAAATCATTCAGATATTTTGTGTACGTTAAATTTCCAACTCGTACCGATAAGTTCCGCTGCATTGTAGCTGTTTGGAACTTTCTAGAAGAGGTCAAACAAACTTTGTTTCACAATTGACTAAATTTAAAACAAAACTATTTTTTACCACCCAATATTCTGAGGGTACAGTTTTTGGGCCAGTGTTGTTCCTCCTGTATGTAAATCATCTTCCTAGTTTTCTGTCTCCATCGAGTTTGGTATGTGTTGATAATATCAGGATTTGGAGTCCGATAAAAAATGAGTCAGTCAGTCAGATGCAACGTAGAACTTTGTACATAAGTACATCAGTTCATATTGCCATACCACATCAGCACAGAGAAGTAATCGTCAATTCAAATCCAATAGTAGAAGAGGTAGTAAGGGAATTAGAAGTAATCGGAGAGGTTAGGATTAGAAGATATTATTCAAGAAGTATGGTTCAGTGAGAAAAGTTTAGAGAGTCCATCCTTACCTAGTACTCGTTTCCTAACGACAGCATTGCTCACTCGGTTGTCCCACGGTATACGAGCAATGCTTCGAAGACACCTATGATCGAAAACCAGTAACCTACGAATATCTTCTACTCTCACTGGCCATGTTTCACAGCCATATAGGAGAACGGAGCGAACTGCTGCACAGTACACTCGTCCTTTGATTAGAGAACGGATATCACGCCTACGCCATAAGTGATGCAGGTTGGCAAAAGCCAATCGAGCCTTCTGTATCCGAGCTGAGATTTCGTCAGTCACCAGGCCATCGGCACTGATGAGACTCCCAAGATAAGTGAAGCGGTCTACACGTTCGACTACTTCACTCCCTATCACTAGTTCAGGTGCCGATGCAACCCAATCTTGAAGCAACATTTTGCATTTCGAGGGGGAAAACCGCATCCCGAACATGCTTGCATTGTTGCTTAGGGTAGTCAGAAGACTCTGCATTTTGTCAGCATCTTCACCAAGTAGGACAATGTCATCGGCATATTCTAAGTCAATAAGCGAGGCTCCTGGTAAAAGGTCTACTCCTGAAAATTCAGACGAGGATAATGTTATGTCTAGGAGCATGTCTATGATAAAATTAAACAAGAATGGAGAAAATGCGCCTAAGCTGACTACGCTCTTCATCATGCTCAGAGTCAGGTGGGATGAGTTTTCGAGCATCCATCAGTTCGGTGGATGCGACTGAAATCCACGGCTTCATCCTAGCCTTATGGTTTACCTTCCTAGCAGATATCACTGCTGTTTCCACAGCCTTTTTGATATCATACCAACCTGCTTCTGGACGGGAATCGCTTGCATGGTTGCTTAACTCTCTTTCTAGTTGCTCCTGAAATATTTTCTTAGTTTGATTATCATTAATTAAAACCCTAAGAGGCTTTCTTACGGTGTCTTTCCTACGTCCAGTAAGCCTCAAACAGATACGAGCTCGCACTAGGGCACGATCTGAATCCAAACATGTGCCCCAGAACGAGCGGCAGTCTTCTATCGAACCCCTCCATCGGTGGCTGATGGCGATGTGATCTAGTTGAGTCCAACGTTGGGACGACTTCGGGGGTCGCCAGGTCAACAGATGCTTTTCCTTATGCCTAAAGTTGGTGTTCACTAAGAATAGGCGGTTATCTGAGCATAGTTGCAACAGACGGTCGCCATTGTCTGTTCTCTCAGTCGCTACACCATAACATCCACCCAGGTGTCTTTCCTTTTCACCTAGTCTACCTACTTGAGCATTGAAGTCACCAGCCATTATTACTACATCAGAGCGCCTAGCTTTTTGGAGGAGGTCCGAAAGCTTTCTGTAAAACTCATCTTTAACCTCGTCTGCACCGCAGTCAGTGGGGGCATAAGCAGATACGATGAAGAGGCAACGGCGATTGTCCCTATCTTTCCGAATCCTTACTGCCCCGTTTAGTCGGACAGTGCACAAGCGACTATCTACTGGGATCCAGTCTAGGAGAGATAATTCTGCCCTAGGACTCAACGCTATGCCTATGCCAGCAAGACCCCTGGAAGCAGCATCAGGGCTACCGGATACACGAAGGGTGAATCGGGCTGCTTCGTTTTGACAAGGTGGAATCAGGTTAATGACTTTACTAGGATCCTGTATACGCGTTTCGGAGACGCAGCATACATCGATTGAGCGAGATTCTAAAGTCCTAGCTAAGCAGCCCTGTTGTCTTATTTGACACATTGTCCCGAAATTAAATGCTTCAACACGTAGTTTAAAACGGAGTTTCAGGAGACCAGGGATATCGTTTCGTGAACTCGAATCGTTTGCATTAGCGGTGCAGCGTGATAAAGTATTGTGAGAAAGGTGAGTCGTGGAGATAAGAGAGATATTAGGGGGTGTAGGAAGGATTTGATTTTGACCAAATTGGTCTCGCGTGCTGTTACGTGTATGAGGGCGGTTGTCACTTCCCGGCTGCCCACGCCGTGGAAGGTTGTTTCTTGAGGAACCTGAAAAGGAAGATGGATTAGTGTTGGTGCGTGACCGCAGAGCCCGAGGGACAACTGCTTGAGGTCGGTCACGCACGGCCCTTTTATGAAAGGTATTTAGAGGATTAGCTCGGTTCTTAAAGGCCCTTAGTGGGCACCCTTACCCAGGGAGACGGAAATCCGTGATTTAGGGGAGGTGTGACATTTTTAGGGTCGAAATTTTCTAACCCTTCCTTCCTTGTGAGAAGGCAGCATCGCTGCAGATACTGGTTGTCCGAGGGAAACACCTTACTGCTGTTACACCCCTTTACAATCAGCAGTACGACTTCGCCCTCAGACCTTGGGTAGCTGCTTTTAGTCTCATCGTTCTCCAATCGACCAGCCTGGCATGGTAGGACCTGCAGGAACATGTGTTCCAGACAGTATAGCTCGGTTGGGTCATCACGATAGGCAAGCCCGACCACCACGTCAAGGTAGCAGCTTCAGTCGGGGATAAAAATAATGAAGCTGACAGTCTACAGTTTAGAAGTAATTCTCTATC